ACTAGCCCAGGTTGCTCCAAGCCCTGTCCAACCTGCCCTTGGACACTTCCAGGGATGGGGCAGCCACAGCTTCTCTGGGCAGCCTATATTGGGGCCACACCACCCTCACAGGGGAGAATTCCTTCCCAATATCCCATCTCTCCCTGCCCTCTGGCAGTGGGAAGCCATTCCCTGTGTCCTGTCCCTCCATGCCTTGTCCCCAGTCCCTCTCCAGCTCTCCTGGAGCCCCTTTAGGCCCTGCAAGGGGCTCTCAGCTCTCCCTGGAGCCTTCTCTTCTCCAGGGGAACCCCCCCAGCTCTCCCAGCCTGGCTCCAGAGCAGAGGGGCTCCAGCCCTGGCAGCATCTCCGGGGCCTCCTCTGGACTCTCTCCAGCAGCTCCACGTCCTCCTGCTGCTGTTCCCAGGGCTGGAGCAGCTCTGCAGGGGGGTCTCAGCTGAGGGGGCAGAGGGGCAGAATCCCCCCCTGCCCTGCTGCCCTGCCGTGGGGTCAGCCCAGGGCACGTGGCCAGGGCATGTCCAGCCTGTCCCCCCCGCAGCCACTGGCTCTGTTCCCAGTGCAGTTCAGCTCAGCCCATACTGGGGGATGCCTGAGCTCAGCTGGGACCTCTGTGCACACTCCCATGTCCATCTCCCCTTCCTCCCCTGAGGGATGGGGCCCATCCAGTGGCTCATCCCTGCCTGCTGCTCCCGTTGCAGGGGAATGTCGTGGTGCTGGTTCACAGCAGTGAGGAGTCGGAGGACGAGGAGAACGAACTGGTTGTGAACTCCCTGTGCCATCACAGCGACCTGATCCTGTGGGCAGAGGGACTGGCCACCGGCTTCTGCAAGGATGTGCACGGGCAGGTGAGGCACGGGAGGGCACCCAGGGGTGGCACTGTCCCTGTCACCTGCAGCGCTGCCTGTGGGAGACAGCCTGGTGAAGGACTGATCCTGGGCACCAGGATCTGCTGCAACACCCGGGCTCCTATGGCTGTGACTCCACTTCTGTGGGGATATCTGGGGACATCCTGCCCCACCTGGGGACTCCCCCACCTCTGGAAGCTTTCCAGGGTTTATACAGCAGCTGCAGCACCGGTTTCTCCCACCCCAAGGTGATGGCAGAGAAAAATACCAATTTCCTGGGAAGTTTCCCCAGGGGTGGATCTGAGCCTGGCCAGTGGTGATCTCCTCGGGGCTGGGACAGCTTTGGAGTCTGATCCCTCATCGGGGTCTGCCACCACAGGGACAGGGACAGGCAGGGCTGCCACCACAGGGACAGGCAGTTGTGTGAGGGGTTATTTTTCAGTGATCCCCTCCCTGCAGGCCAGCAGAGGTGTGGGGGCAGCCAGAGGGATGATGTTCCTGTTCCTTTCCCTTGGCAGATGAAGATAATCCGGAGGGTGTCCCTGCAGCAGGCGGGGGAGCAGGACCTCGTCCAGATCTACCAGTACAAGATCCAGGACCGCAATGTCACCTTTTTCGCCAGGGGGCTGTCGGCTGCAGTCCTGTGAGGCTGTGACAGTGTGGGGCCAGCCTGGGAATGCCAGTCCCTGCCTCCTGCTAGCCTGGCAGCACCTTCCAGGAGCAGCACAGCAATCTGACCCGGGAGGGAGGCTCAGACACACCTGGAAGCGGTGCCAGCACGGGGATCAGCCTGCCCAGGGATGCCACATCCCTTTGTCCTCCCACCCGGTTCCCAGTGGGCTCAGGCCAAGAAGAGGAGCAAGAACGTGCAGGAATGGCAGGCGGGGGGTGCCCCGTGGGCTGGGTGTGCCTCACCTTTTCCGGTGTGTGCCAGGCGCTGGGGGAGCGCTGGCACGGCAGGAGATGACACAGTGGGCGGGGCAGGGATGGTCTGGCAGCCTCTGCAATGCTCTCCCTGTCCCAGCTCTGGCTGGGGGAGAGCTGCTCCACTCCAGCGTCCACACAGGGTAAATGCACAGCTCGTGTGCAGCCCCTCGCTGCAGTGGGACCTGGATGTTGCCTTCACTGGCTGATCCCTTGTGCTTCCCAAGCTCGTCCTTGGCTTTGGGGTTGGATAAACCCCTGTCCGTGAGCCTCTGTCTCAGCCACTGCTTCCCCATCCCAAATCCTGACCAGCAGTTACATGACCTGCCTGTACTGAAGCATTTTTTGGGATAATAATCCCTAATTTTAATGAGATAAGGGTACAGTGATGAAGTAACCACGGATTTCTGTGTGGGAACCACTCCCCACCGGCTCCTTGGCAGAGGGCAGGAATGGGCATCTCCCAAGCCTGGATGAGGAATGGGCTGTGGGTCCCCTCCCTCCCCATGGCCGGGAGGGCAATCCCGGGAGCAGAGCTCAGGCCTGGAGGTCTCCCAGCAGATGCTCAGCTGGGATCTCCCATTTATCCTGGGAGAGAAACAACATCCCACACGCCTGTGAGAGACAAGTGCCCTGCCAGGTCCTTGCAGGTCCAGAGCTGGGTAACAGCTCCGGCAGTGGGACGTGTTCCTGCATTTTCCATGGAGACTCAGTGACCCATCCTGCTGCAGGTTTGGGAATGGTCCCTTTGGCTTGAGTTTGGGAAGCCCTGGCTGAGTGATGGCAGTCCAGGGAGGCTGGGCAGGCTCTGAGGAACTGGGGAAGGGCAACCAGGGCCTCCATGTGCTGTAGGATCACATGAACTGTGGGTCTGTCCGTGCTCTGCCATGGAAATGGCAGTGCCAGGGCTGCTGCTGCCAGCCCAGTGTGCTGCCAGGGCCCAGGGGACAGTCTGCAAAGGGAGGAGGATGAGACAACCTGTGGTTCTTGGGGAAAGGAGCTGCTTAAAATACACCTGTAACGAGCATAGAATAGTACATAATTGGAGTAATGTCCGTGTGATTACCCTTGGAGAGATCCCAAAACCTCCTGGCTCAAAGCTCTGCCTGCCTCCTGTGGAACTGGCAGGGTGGCCGTGTGACATCACCGTGTGACATCACCGTGTGACATCACTGCTGGCCTTTGCCTGCTTTGTTCTGTGCTCACCCAGTGTCAGCATCCAAGAAACCAGGGCTGGGGAGCCTCAGCCTGAGCTCCATGTTCCCAGGATCTGAGCCCTTGGGGATGAGCTGCTCTGCCTGCACCCCGTGAGCAGGGGGAGCTTGGGCAGGGAGATTGCTGCTGGAGTAGGGGGTGGTGCTGCTGAGGACTGAGCCCAGCACTCCCAGCATCCCTGCCCATGTCCAGCACTGGCCTTGGCCATCAGGACATGGAGGGGCAGCCCTGCTGCGCCAAGGCCAGGGGCACGGCCAGGACCCAGCCGGGACCTCGCTCCGGAGCTGAGGCTGCGGGAGAGCAGCCAGGGAGCGGATATCGGAACGGTGCCGTCGGTGCCAGGACGGGGTGGCCTTGCCCAGGGTCAGCCCCCAGCTGCGTGCTCAGGGCTGTGCGAGCCAGAGCTTGGGCAATGCCGGGGAATCCAGCGGGATCGGGCTCGGCTTTGTTCCCTCGGGCAATGCTGGGGAATCCAGCGGGATAGGGCTCAGCTTTGTTCCCTTGGGCAATGCCGGGGAATCCAGCGGGATCGGAGTCGGCTTTGTTCCCTTGGGCAATGCTGGGGAATCCAGCGGGATCGGGCTCGGCTTTGTTCCCTTGGGCAATGCCGGGGAATC